GAGTGTGTGTGGAGAAGGTGACCAATCCCAACTGTGCTCTCTCCTCACTCCAGTTTGTTTCGTCACCATGAGCAGGCGGCAGCTATATTGAGCTGTATTAGGGGTGGGGGGTGTTAGGGGGAAGAATGGGGAACATGCCAGAATGAAAATGTGACGATGCGTCCCAGAATCTGCACCCACCCCCTCACCAGACCAACTCTCACCATGGTAATCATGATGATGATGAAGTCACACACTCTCATTCATGTGTTTTTACACGTGCACATACACTAATGCACACACTTGATCAAATTCAAATAGTGAAGTTTGGAGAAGTTTGGTGTAGCTGCCTGTATCCCCTCGCAAATACTCTTTCTTGTCTTCCAGCTCACAAATTATTCATCATTTTCACACCTTTCTTTGTTCCTCTTCTCTCTCTTTTGTTTTCCTCCTCTGTGGGGATCAAGCCCACATACATTTCTATACTTAACATGTCTTTTTGGGGGGAAATTTTCAACTCACACTTGCAGTTTAAATTAACTTGCACATTTTGGCAACAACAGATCTGATGTAGCAAATCATTAAGACGACATACTGCGACAATTATTTCAGATGAGTTAAGAATTAAAACTGTTCACATGACAGAGTTTGCAGAAATTTGAGTTGCTAGAATCAAGCATTGGAAATGTTATGAACCAGTGAAATTTCCCAGAATGTTCTAGTGTAGGGCCTTGTTTGTGAACAGAAACTTAGAGGACCTACTGTTGTTTACCCAAGCTTTGGAAACTGTGAGTTTACTTTATGTAAAAGACATTGACTGTGACTCATAATTCACAGAATTGCAGAGATGGCATAACTAATGACCGTGGACATCCCCTCAGAGCTTTTGGTTCACCACCTCGAGAAATGCACATTAAAAACTTCAACCGTGACCGATGTGATTACTCTTCCCATATTTCCAAGTTACTTTTTCATGGCAGTGGAGTGGGCGTTCACCAACTGTGCATGAAGGCAGCTGCCTGGGTGGTCATGGGACATGTTTATTGTTATTCTGCTGCAGGAACACAACCAGGCCATTAGCAGAGAGCATTTCTCTGAAGTTGTCAGACTTTGATGATGTGTGCTCATCACGCACTGCACCCACTCATTCTGCCTGAGTCTTTCCTATTTTTCTTGACGCTCTTTTGTGTGTTCGCTTGCCTTTCACATTCTGTCACTTAGTCTTTGTCTGAACCCTACTCACTCCAGCCCCTCTCTCTCTGCCTGTCACACATGTCTCCCCCATATGGTTATGCCTGTCTTGGCCAGGCCTGTGTGTTGGCTCATACGTGTTTGCTTGCGTTCCATTAGCGTGTTTGCTGACGTTCACCGCCACACATATTTAATTGGCAGAAGACGAACTGAGACTCCCTGACGTCAGAAATCCCAGGGAGGAAATGAAGAGGCAGAGAGAGACTTTCAGATGAATGAAATTAACTGATTCACTGCGTCTGTATGATGACAAAGAACAGAGTATGTTTTTTTTACATTGAAGAACATAACAGTTTCATAATTAAAGTCTAACAATGTATTGCATTGCAGACAACCTGACAACTGACCTAACACATCTATAATTGATAACCACCATTAGCAGCACTGTCACACTGACCAACTCTCATTGTCTAGCACGTGGAAACATGAGCTTCAGGGGCAGTGAACCTTTGCTCGTGACAGTTCACCAAACGGAAGAGGAAGGAAAAAAGTAGAGGCACCTCAGAGACATGAGGAGATCCTCGGACCATCTGAATAAATGTTCTGAGTGGAAACTGACTAAACTCACAGATGCAGTGACACTTTGCTCTGAGTTCACCCACTGAGCAATAAGAAGCCAATATGAAACTGGAAGACAAAAGAGCAAGAAGGGGAAACATCTAGAACATTTACAAAGTGTCAGAGAGGAACACTTTGGGAAAAGCTGCTTCAGCTGGTTTTGAAATGGTTTTCATCTGCAGCCCGAAAGCTGGAGACTCAAACCTACAAAAGTGGAGCTCCATTAATACACACATGGAACTTCACTACAGTTAAATGTAGTATTACAGTGACGTTTAAAACCTACAAGACTTAAAGGTTCAGTGTGTAGAATTTAGTGATATCTACTGGTGAAGTTGCCTGTTGCAGCTGAATACCCCTCACCTCACCCTCCCCTTCCAAACATGAACGAGAACCTGTGGCAGCCTTCAGTTGTCATAAAAACCCAAAGGTGTTAAGTTTGTCCAGTCTGGGCTACTTAACTGGAAATTGAAAATCATTTTAAAGTTATATTCACTGAAATATTTTGTTTAACATGATACAATTTGCTGTTTGTCTTATAAAAGGGAAAGGAATAAAAGAAGGATAAAAAGAAGGATATAAACAGACTCAACAAGTTAATCAAGAAAGCCAGCCATGTAGCTTCTGCAGCTCGTTCAGTTACAGACTCATCCACCCACGCTGCTCGACAGAGCGTCACAGGAAATCATTCCTGCCTGTTGCTGTCAAACTGTATAATGACAACCTCTAAATAAGCTTAAACATGTATACTGTGTATACTTAACTTACATATCATGTTGATCTATATTGTAGATTTATTTCTACTTATGCACATCTTTTAATTTTTACTTTTGTCTTCTTGTTTAATTTGATTTATTTTGATTACGCTGCATTTTTTTGCTTAGTCCTTCCTTACTCGCACTGCTATACCTGCTTGTTCATCACTTGCTCAGGACCTTTGTGACGTTTGAATTTCCCTCCAGGGATTAATGTTTTTCTGATTCTGATTCTGATACATATCATACATGAGTGGCCTTGTATACTGTATTGTTTTCGGGCAAACTCTGGGGCCTTTGTAGCAAATGAAGAACTGCCTCTTCCAACTGTGAAAATAGATTATGTTGTTATAATGACTCATGATGTGGAGCCAAACATTCAGAATTAGTACAGTTAACTTGCCTTGGTAACAGTTGCTCTGCAGCCAGCGAAGGTCTGTGGTTTAAAACCCAGCTCCTGCAGTCATCTCATTGGTCGTCGGACACTGAAATTGCCCGACAGTGTATGTGATAAAAAAAGCGCTGTATATAGAAGCCCTGGATGAAGAGGTGAATGCGACTTGTACTGTACAAGACTAACTAAAAATAATTCATTTACAATTTACTGGACGACCCGTAAGAATCTGGCTCTGAGATGCTATGGCTGCCAAAATACAAAACAAATCTTGATTTATGAATGAAAAATCTGCCTTCTGTTGTCGCTGGCTTGTGCGAATTCACAGAAATGTCTGTGTGAGTGTTTGTGAGCATTACTGTGTGCATTGTTCATCGTCCTACAGCCACAAGCTCTGTGCATCTCGAGTCAGAAGTAAAAGAGGAGAGAGGGATGGTGAGAACAGGGCACATCTGTGTGTTGTTCTGTTCACTCCACTGAATTGTATTATTATTATTATTATTAATATATACTATTATTATACTGGTATTATGTATTTATTATTATACTAAATATACTGTACTATTATCATAAACTGTTTAGTAACAATAACATTACTATTACCATCATCTTGCCACTGCACCTTATCTACCTTTTTTTCTTGTGTTTTTTAAGTCTCCTTGTCCTATTCTGTGTTTTTATTTTTTCTACCTCAGTATCTTATTCTATTGTATTTTTTCTGTATCGAAATAACGGACTGCTATGACAACGTAATTTCACTTTGGGTATGAATAAAGTAATCTAGCTATCTATCTATTTGAAGGTTGAAGCACATGACAAAGTGTACACTGCAACAGAATGAAAAGACAGTTTTGAGACAGTTGAAATGTAACTAGTGTCGCCTGTTTTCAAAAGAGAGACACAATGAATGAAGGATTTAATCATAAAGCAATGACAACATGAGTAAAAGTATTTAATCAGGAAGTGTGGTTCATGAGTTTGAGAACAAAAGAACAGTGATTAGATGGGCGCTTGTGAGTCAGACACACCTCCTCGCTTTGGGACATTGTTTTGCATTTGTTGGCTCAGATGCAACTTGTGACGTCCTTCAGACAATTTATTTAAGCGCCCAAACATGTGACTGCTGCCACGTTCCCTGGCAAACACATGGGGATTGGGTAATGCTATTTTAGTAAAACCATGGCTTTGGAGTACTCAAACAGACCCGTCTGTTGCTCTGCAGGGATCTCTTTCAGTCGCTTCTTGTTTGTCTTGGATGCTGTCTGTCAGCCGTCACTCACAAGTCTACATTTGGGGACCTGCGTACATCTGTCCCTCTGTTTACAGGGGACGTAACATTGCCAGAAGGGGGACTTATCTCAAAGTTCATTTACATTTTGGCTTGACTGGATGACGAAGATATGACACCAAAAAAAGTCCAGTACATGCTGCAGCTTGTATCATTTGATAAATTAGCAAATCAAATATATATTATCTTATAGGGACCGTGGGTGTCAATAATATTTAAAATTATTTCATAG